TCTACTACCAGTCCTTCATCACCTTAAACGAAATAGGGTCAATACATCTCATATTACTGATTTACTGGTACTCTCGAAACTCTATTTAAATACGAAAAATAAGAAATTTGTTACCCTAGGTAGCATAAGACGAGCTAGAATTCGATAGTGGAGGCTATCCCACAATCCTTACGGTGCCTGTGAATTCCACTCAAAAGCCGAAGATATGAATACCAGGATTGTGTGGCCTCTTGTATAGTAACGGTTTCCTTTCGTTGTTTGACCTTGTTCTCGCAACTTCGTCATATTGGTAGGAAGACCTCGAGGAACGCACCTTGTTCGGGGTCCATATTATGCATGACAAATTGTCTTCTAATTTGTAGTGCTACGATGTTAGCGAAACGTCTGCAAATGTGCCACATCCACGGGCCGACTCTGGATATTATCATGCATACTATGGACTCCGGACAAGGTGCGTTCCTCGAGATCTTCCTACCAATATGACCCAGTTGCGAAAACAAGATCAAACAACTTCTCCACTCAGAAGGTCTTCTTATCCAAATTGAAAGGCATTTTCAATCAAGCCGAGTCCGCCATAGCAACCCAAATAGAAATCGAGACCGAGTAGTAAGCATCGTAGTGACACAACCACTGCTTCTCGTAAAGTAAGGCCCTATGAGATTAAATTGCATCCTGAGGTCCTTTCATATCATTGTGGAAGAAGCTCCGTTAAAAGCCTTTAAACCATCTTATGAGGACTAGTTCGAATACGCTTTTAGATTATTAGTTAATCCACTGTCGAAGAACCCCCAAGCAGATAAGGAAATTATTAGTTTGACCTTGGTTTACGAACTAAAACATAAAAAGAGGCAAATAAATTATTTGGGTAGTCTTAGAACCAATTTCAATGATGATGTTGATGTTAATTTGGTCCGAAACCGTAGTTTGTTTCCTGAAAATAACAGCCTAGAGGCATCATAAGGCGAAATACTATCCTCAAAAAGACAAAAGACTGTGTATAAAATGTCTAGTAAGTAAACCATAATGGAATAGCGATATGATTACATTCATAAAAAGGGTTGGTGGCAAAGGAGGTGAGAATAAAAATATTTCCCAAGGTAATTCAAATGTTACAAATACGGCCAAACAGCTATGATACGAGCCATAATAATAATACGATGAATTGGGATGTCGACAATGGTACAAACTACTAAAACTTATACCATAGTGTAGAAAAATGAGAGCGTTGCACGTTAATCATGCTTTATGCGATAATGACCATCTGCTATCCACGGAAGAAATAAAGGTTTTGTGGAAGCCTGTTTCTGAGAAAGGGATATTAGACAGTCGGAACATAATACTGTACACAACAATCATAAATTTGGTTGGTTCATCACGAACGATATGATGGCGAAAATGATATGTGTAATGATTATAAACATAGTTTTCCGCCTTGTTATAAAATCCCTAATTCATCACCTTAAAGTGACAATAACATAATTTCTTCTGAAGCCACAAACTACTGACCGAGATACTAGCTCTCTATATGACTAGGCCAAATAACACTCGCCTTGAATCGACAAAAACTTTTCCAGTGATAATGTCCTACGTAGAATTAATCGAAAATTACTGCAAACTAGCATTCTACAACGTAAAGATGTTCATTTTAGTCTTGTACGATTGTTGCGTACTTGACCTATTTGTCATTGCAAACACAGTAAAC